AGGTCACAAAACGGTAGTGAAATAGAATAATTGATTTTATTCAAGGCGACAGTCAACAAGAAGACACTAAGGCTTCAAAAATTCCGCTCGTAAACGTACATGAAACAAGATTTATGAAAATTCCTGAACCTCTTGCAATCACTCTACTTAATTCTTTGAAATACATTTCAAAGTGAGGCGACTTTTCTTTGTTTCTTTAGGAGTAATTTGAATATGGATGTTAGAACCACCTGCTAACTCATTTGAGTAAGTATCCAGTAGTATAATAACATTTGTGCGTTGAAGTTTCTGTAGCAATTTGGTTAAGTTTTGGGGGAGGAGTTGCTAGCACCACGCCCCAACCCTCCCTCTTTATCCGGGCTCGGGACCGGCTAGAAAAGTAGCGAGCTAGTAATCTAGGCGAGGTTGACAGCGTTGACCGCAAAGTAATTTGGAAAATACACGAGTACTACGGCGTACCCCAAATATTCATCAACCTTATTCAACAGCTGTACGACAACGGCACATGTCAAGTGATCCACAACGGAAAACTCAGCGAGGCGTTTGGGGTAAATACAGGAGTCAGACAAGGGTGCTTATTATCACTAATGATATTCCTAATTGTGGTGGACTGGATAATGCGTCAGACAGTGGGAAACGAGAAGACAGGGATATCCTGGACCGACGTGAAGAACCTAGAAGACCTGGATTTCGCGGATGACTTATGTTTGCTGTCACACAAAATCGAAGAATTACAAGCGAAAACCGACAAACTGGTCGAAGAAGCAGCAAAGATAGGACTCTAGGTGAACATTGACAAGACGGAGGTCATGAAATTAACCAACCAGCAACAACAACAGCAGCAACATCCAGCGCCAATCACCATCAACGGGAGGGATTTGACGAGGTGGACTTAGGCAAACATACTAGCTTCAAAGACTCTCAAGCCACGGATTCTGAGGCTGGTGCTGTTCCTAGAAAACCAACAGACGCAACTCAGAATACTGTGGACTCAAACCAACTGGAAAATATCAGAAGACCGTTAATAATTCGAGGATTGTTTATTGTACCAATGACAATAAACCGGCATGACAAGACAATTATAGCAGAGATAGTTACAGTACCAAAAGTTATAGCTTCAAAACGTTACAGGTTGAAATGGTTACAGACTCAAATGTCGCAGCTCCAAAGTCTATGAGTAGACATAAGTATAATTCGCAATAATACTTCTGACTGTAATGCTCCAGTCTTCTGCTGATCAGCAAGCAGCTGGACCATGGTAGGGGCTTAAATCTCCAACAGAAATGAAAACAGTTTGAATACGCCAGATCACTGGACATTCATTAAATATTGACGATACTGACAATTTCCTTCCAATCTGAATGTACCTTCCTTTGCCTCCACACCTTCTACAATAGTGGTGTCAGCATGTCCAGCGGTGCGACTGGGCGAACTCCATATGGTCGCCAGTATGCTTGGAAAGCGTCTTACGACTTTCCTAGAACTCATTCTCATTCTGCTTCAGTGCTCCACTTCTCGACATTGTGTCCGGTAGGCTGTCTCCACTTTCTTCAGATTTAAATGATTTTCGGTGAATACATCTGGTGAAGCCCACGCCGCATTGCGGATATCCTTGTGCTTGTACACATTACCTACAATCACCAAATCATCACTCGTGGAGAAGTCTGCGAAGTGCTCCCTGTCCTCAATCATTTCACTGGGCGAGCACCTCAGCCACTTCTCCCTTTATACTGTCCGATCCCACTTTTTCACTCATATCACCAATTAGAATTCACATGTTACCACACTGTAGGTTTCTTGTCCATTACTGTTTTCCTCAAAAGTCCACCTTTCTCTCTGTGCTTGAGTTGTCTGGAGGTATGCAGCATTACTTAATGGTGTTTTTGTTCCTTTACGTTCCCAGTAGAACATAGGGCTTCAAGCTAGAGACTTGAAGTTTCGGTAGCAGTGGGGATGGGGTTGCTAGTCTCATGCCCAACCTTCCCTCTCTACCAGTCTCACTACTGGCTTAGCGAGGTAAAGGAGTGCATTGACTGGTGGTCGAACCCCGAAACACCTGCGTGGTTGGCGAGCATTCTACTGCTGTGCCACCGATGCACATTAATTTAATATTACATTTCCTTATTTTGGAGTTGAATCTTACTGTCATGATTCTGGGGAAAACTGGTTCCCACTAGATGAGAGCCATCGATGTTAATAGTGGTCACTTTCTCAGTGTGCTCGTAGTTGCCGTCTGGGTAACGAGGGTAGATTATTGGCTCTCCCAAAGAATCTTTTCATGGGTATTTCTCTGGATCACGATACTGAGCCAGTAATGCTATACGCACATTTTTGTGTAGACCTTACACAAACTGCACTTTTCTGATATTCACTGAAGACTATATACACTTGGTCAGGTCAAAACAACCTTTGTGATGAAATATGTTCATCAGTAAAAAACTAGATAGCTTTCACTGCTAACATCATTTAATATTGCTTTAAATACAAGTAATCGTGTTTCCGTCAAACTTCTCAGATGCCAGATACAGGACCACAGTCTATTGTGTGAATTACTGCTAACATCATATAATGATGCTAAACCTACAAGTAATCGTGGTTACCCAAGCAATATCATCTTCAGCCCTTTGTTTCTTCTGTAAACTGTGGATCGCAGACATGTCTGTTTTTATTTCCAAACCACAGTATGAGGGATTGTAAAATGGAATAAATTACTACCAAAACGTCTGGAGCGAATAACATCACTTACGCCTGATACAACTTCACTTTCAGTGCACATAGTTACAATATTAACAATCCCATGGCACGTGAAATGCCAGAATAACTTACCACTCAGGGGGAAAATGGAGATGTCTTTGAATTCGCAGTTAGTAAGTTCCACTTGACATAAACAAGCATATTACAGTCGGCCAAATATCACCTCGGTATAATTCACCCAAGCGATATACATTCGCCATTCTAAAATTGATGTAGTTTCCTGGGCGAAAGTCTCGTTTACCACATCATACTGAGCCACATAAATGACACTCCCCATTTATTCTTACTTTCCCCGCGTCTTGTTTACCACTTTTTCTCACATTATCCATGTTTCGAGAAATTATGAATGGAAAATTGCCTATATTTTTACCCACTTAACCCATGTCCACGGAAAAATTCTCCGACTGAGCATGTTCTGGTTGGACTTCTCAGATACCAGGTGCAGGACCATAGTCTGTTTTTTGTTTTATATGTCTTAAGCCAGTAGTGATTATAGATCTTGCAGACTTTGCTTCTATTCAACTGTAGTCATTTCAAGCTACCGGCCACCTAATCGTAACGCCAACTTTTGAAACCCTCTCAAGAAAGTCATCATTTTTATGCACATAATTTTGATATAACCTATTAATTCGTAGTTTATACGATGGCAAGACAACTTCATTAGATGTTTATCTACTGAGAATCTCTCTTATTAATATTTGCAGTCTTCAGACAATTAACGGATTATTGTCCAGATTTAATCTTGTAGTATGATTTAATGCCAGGATTTCTCTCAAATGTTGATATTGTAGGTGTGTAGTTGTGCAAGCGTAGCTCACTCTCATGACATTTCCCCTACCAATAATGTATTTCCTAAATCAAAACAAGTGTTAACTTTGATATGTTGCATAATTTTATCAGATATGATCGTGTCCGTAAAAGACGCCATGTTAATCATACAGATGCTTTAAATTTATGTGAACAGAATATTATTATTAAGACAGGCTGAAAGGCGATTATATTTACAAACCAACACGCTTCCTGGAGATATTCAGTGCTTTGAATGGCATTTTAACGGTAAAGGAACCGAAATTCGACTCCATGTTTCCCAGAAGAAAGTACCGATGTTGGCCGACTTAGTAGTTCATCTCTTCACATTGTGAATATTAATGATAAATTATGAAGCACCGGTTATCCAGAATTTGACTAGCTATCTAAATGTCCTTCGATCACAACGCCGCAGGGATTGGGTGCAGTCGTTGAATTATCAGAAGAGAGTTCTCAGCTTCGTTGAAAGTATTTGAAAATAAAGCTCCACTTAATTAAAGACTGCATCTATCGAGTGATGTGGAATTCCATAAAGCTGAGACATCCAAAGGCTCTGTGTGCAACACTTAATTATTGAACTTGTAAGCCTACGTCAATTACATGCTTACAAGTCTGCATTTATGAGACAGTGTAGATCTTATAGATTGCCAGGACGTTGATTTTGGAGAAGTTATGAATAATATGCGAAATTTTTCCGTGTATATCATTCTTGCTTTCCACCAACCTGAGGGATGTGAGACTGAAATAAATATTTCGACCAATATACATTGGGTTTGTATGCGATAATTTTACCATCCACCCCGGCGTTTGTGTCTACCATATGACGATTTTAGAGTACTGACCCTATATTTATAGCCGCCTATTTCTCAACGTTTCCAGTTGAACAGTAAGCATTTTCTGCTCTAGGGGATTTGATTTCCATCAACCATCTTTTTTACCTATTCAAAATGTGAGGTAATCAAGACTAATCACCGGGCGAGAAATAATGTTTATATTAGATTCAAAAGGAAAGCAAGCCAGACAATCCGAAGACCTGATGTTTCTGACGTTTTCATATAGGCAAAGCTAATCATAAGCTTTCTCCGCATATCTCCTTAGATTTGCCCACGGATTTATTAGGACCATTCTTTACATCATCACCGTAATCCAATGTTTTGGATAAATTAATATATTATTACTTATGAGTGAACCAAAGAAGTTATTGTACATAAAGGATGGTAAGAAGTTTTCTAAGCACCCCATCCTCAAACACCTTAGGAGGATGTGGAATTCAATGGCTTTACCTGTCCATGTAATTCAGCGTCCCGATAATTGGTGCCCATAAGCACAAATCCAGGGTCCAGGATTTCCTACTGATTGCCTTTAACTACTAAAGACTAGTTCGGTATTGTTTTGTGTTGCTAATCAAAAGAATTTACAAATGATATGTCTCAAACTGGCGGTCGTCATGTTGCCGTGCGTACTACTGGAGAGTGTCAAACTGACATTCAGTCTCCCTTGGTTTTCAATGCCTTTCCAGTTGACGTCAGGTTCTGATGTTTCCTGGACTTCTATATTGATCTGGCTTCCATGAAATGTCGTAAAAGTCTAACAATAGTTAAAATGGAATTGTTATTATTATTATTATGCTTAAGTGGTATGAGCACAGTTACAAAGAAAGTTACTGAGATGAATACTTCTTCATTTAGCTACATCATATTGGTGTGTATAACTTGAGCATTATACTAAACATTTTGGTGCTACGATAAATTTGATTATTTAACAAACCGAATAATCATATCTGAAGTTCAGAAAAATTAGGATGTTAGAACAGTTTTTGAAGAAAGAAAAAAATAATGTGGACAAAAACATGTTTAAAGTCTATTCAAGTAAAAACTCCTCTGTAGTAAATAAGTTTGTACAATTTGGTAACCTTATGGTAAGCAGTGTGTAGTATATACATGCATTCATATGTACAGTTAGCTTGTCTTTGAAATATTAAACCTAAGATCAAGAAATCAATGTATTATCAGCATTAGTTTCCGGTGACTTATGATTAGTCTGGGAAATATCTGATGAGATTAAATCTGACAATGGAAGTGATTTGGCGTTGTCAGTATCTGTAGATGACGTGGAACTAGCATCCATATCAACGCCTATTCTTACACATGAATTTTGAAGTTGACATACAGTCGACGAATTGACTTCTGCATAATTGATCGTGTCGTAACTCTGATTCACTGGGAGACTATTTTCCGCGTGTGTTTCAACAGCAGGAATTTCCTTGTGAGTAATAAGATGGGAATCCAAAAACAAACTATGCTGCAAGCTAGTTGCTGGCATGGTGGTAGTTAAGCCGTCACTTGAGGAGAGATTTTTAGTACTATCTTCTCCTGCATTTAAAATTACTTTATTTTGTACAACAATCCGATCATGTGAAGAACTTAGAGAGTATGAAGAGGCAGCGCTGAGAGCAGTTTTCAAAAGTGACGTTGAACTATCACTTGGGGCTTCAGATGTTTGCCCACTTTTTACGTGAACAAAGCAATCTGATTTAAGATCGCTTAAACTAGAGAAACTAGAGCAAACAACATCATCTACAACTTTGACATTTGAAGCACATTCATCAGAGAGCGCCTGTCCTTCAGAAGGTTTGGTAGCGACCAGTGCAACTTGACCAATTGACTGGTTATCACTGGGTGCTGTAATATTTTCACAAGGAGTTGACGTTGAAACAGATGACGGTAATGAGTCACAAATTATGACATCATCAAGTTCATTATTCAGTGAGGAATTCTGTTGTGGAATTATTGTTGAACTCGGTGCGGAAACAGTGACTTCAGAAGCGGATACAGAAGTATTATAAAATGATGTTTCACAAGAATCTGCTGTCAACGTTACATCGACAGGGTTTGACAAATTTGAAGTATTTACAGAATTTACGTTTTCATTTTTAATGCATGATATTTGTACGTCAGTAATAAGTGAAACATGTTCATTATCAGTAGGCAGTACAGGGCCATTTGTATTGCTATTACAAGAAGTAACTGTATCGTCATCCATTAGAAGATCAAGTAGACAAGGTTCAAGGTGTTCTGTATCAACTTCATCAGATTTTAGAGTAGGAGGATCGATCTAGAATGAAAATAGAGAAAATTTAACCAGCAAAGTACAAATTACCGTTAAATCCACTTCGTCAAACCAACTCTGAAGTAATTCAGTTTTATCATTATCATACTGAGATTGAAGAGCATAAACAGCTTGAGAGTGTAGACCGTCTGTTGCAGCATCCAAACGTTTAGCAACCCAACGACGAGCCCACCGACCGACTGGCTGGACAAATTTAAGCAAAGAAACTGCATACTCAATAAGACTTGGATCACTACTATAGACCTTGCTCAGTTGTACCAATTGCATTGGTCTGAAAAAAAAAACACGACAACAACAGTCACTACATTAAATGCAAAAAGACAACTAAAGTTGATAATTATTGACAAAACTATCTCTAGAAGAATTCATTTCACAGAAAAGTCATACTTCCTTAATAAATATAACAAGATGGTGATATAAGGGAACGAATACATGAGTTTTCGATGTAGTTGTGTCCTCTGAGCTGGATAGTTTATTTGCGAAGCTTTTATTGGCCTACCATGCCTCAAAATCATCCGCTTGAGTTACAAATCTTCTCCATTATATCTACATGAGTTTTCTTCTGGTATACAAAGATCACTAAACTAATCATAAAACAATACATCAAGATCTCGATAGATACGTGTTCATTTTAGAACACTTTAATATTATTGAGATATCGATTCTTAAAAAGAAGATCATAACATGAAATGAATGCAGTATGTGCAAAAATGTCTCTCAGACACATTCATATTCCGTCCCAGCATGTTTCTCAAGCTATTTAATTATGAATTAATACAGTCCAAGGCTTCCTGCCGATTGCCTCCAACCACCTAATATCATCACAAACTATGTACCCCGTGATGGTGAGCTACCTAGAATGGTGGCCACATTACAACGTGACTGATAGAATTCAGTCTGCACCAAAGAGAGGACTAGACGCATCACACTAGTTACTAGTGTCAAATCAAAAATATATCCACTACAGTCCTACAGGAGGTCAATCGCGAGCCCGAATAGCTTAGTGGTAACGTCTCTGACTGCAGCACTGGGTGATGCGGGTTCGAATCTCAGAAGGGACATGAGTTCCTTCAAGGTTGCAGATACGCCTTGCTGACGAGTGCCAACTAGCACGGAACCTAGGTCCAAGGCTTCCTGCCGATTGCCTCCAACCACCTAATATCATCACAGTAATATACAAACATTAGACTTTTTATGGAAAAGTTGATAGTTTTGAGCTGAACTCATTCAGTGAAACAAAAAGTAGAGATGACCAGATTCTCTTTAAAATCGCAAAGTCAAATGACTAATCATCTTTTATAACTTCAACTAATTGGGTCAGGTGGCTTTAGTTTATTCAACAGCAAACGTTAAACGTTTATCGGAGTAATCAAATCAACTGTAAAATAATGAAAATGATTGATGGTTTTCAGTTTATTGAGCACATATGGGGATGTCCAAATTAAACAGGTTCGGAAAAGCAAGAAAGACCTTCATTACCCTAAAAGCACTATGGGGATCTACTGCACTAAGCATAAGGAAAGAGATACGGATATTCAGTACTAATGTTAAGTCAATTCTTCTAAATAGTTCAAAGACTTTGTACATCCCCAAAAGCATTTCCCACAGTCTGTAGACTTTTATCAGTAGCTACCTTCACAGGATACTGAAGTCCAGATGACCAATCAGAGAGGAAAATCAACTAGTAACGATGGAGATGGATTGGGCATACGACAAGGAGACCGTTGAGTGAGATCATAGGCCACGCTTTCGAGTAGGACCCAATTGGAAAACGATGACTCGGGCATCTAAGGGTGACACGGAAGAGATCGTAAAAGGAGGAAATGAAAGCTTATGTGTAATCATAGACCAGTCTAAGAAAGAATGCAGATAACAGGATGTAGTAGCGATGTGATACTTAAGCCCCAAGTTTCATTCGAAACCCACGGGAGTAATTATAATAAGGGACTAACTAAACAAAAAGGATAAAATAAAGTTCATCAATGAAATTCACATAGCCGCACGTCTGGTGTGAGGACAAATACCCGCTGATGATATCGGCTAGTGGTCACGCTTTCTTGTGAATTGGCAAAAGTTGGAGGTCATGGGCTAGCCACTGGATCGGATCCCAGTGGCTTAATGGTTTACGAGCTCGTCTTGTAATCGAAGGGTCCTGGGTGTACACTGATGAACAGTCCAAAACTAGGACGACACAGATGTCCAGTACTCCCAGGCTTTCCAATGGTTCTCTAACCGATGTCAGCTCATGATGAACTTCCGTATATTTACAGCTTGAAGTGGAATTTTATCACTATTCCCAGTGGAGAAGTAAAATATTCAAATTACAATAAATTCAATTACAATACAGTTCAAATTACAATTACTTGACACCATAAGTAGTAGTAAGAAAGCAGCCACAATGTGTAATACAATAAAATACGACTCACTTTGCATTTCATTGAAATGTAAAATACGGTTAGCCATTATTAGTATTTAAGGGGTTTTCGCATGTGTGGCTTTTCGTTATTTAAATTATATAAACTATTGGTTTTTCACTACTTACATGTTCCTAACTTTTCACTTCTTCATGATTTTATACTTCTTTTTGTATGGCTTGATATATAAAACACAATTTTAAACTATCAATGATTCATACAAATTCGCCGTACGATGGTTAGTTTATCTTTGAATTTTCGCTCGGATGAAGCCTAAAAACTGCCGAAAAACAATCTTTGGACGTAGATTTTCGTTGTGAATCAGTATCAGTTAAGAAGTCATTAGAAATTAAGATGTTATGACGTATTCAGCTAAACATGGTCAATGCAATTATCCACATATGTTTAAATACTTGTATAACTAGGCGTTCACTATTCCTGATTATACAACTTAATGTAGGACAATCATAAGAACATGCTTTGAGTGAAGTGGTTAAAACGGTACACTAAAATGTTTACTGAAACTGGATATATGTTGACAACTGAAAAAATGATTGAAGTGAAAACCGATAGGAACAAGAGGTGAAGCGATTCTAGAAAGTCACTACTAATTGTTGATTTGAACTGAGTAGAGAAGTACTGATTATTTTATAGTTCGAGTCAACTTGATCAAAATAATATTAGACACATATGGATAGAAATTTAAGACAGAATTTGAGCAGTAACTACAGGTTAGGTTGGTAAGTTTTCTAAATTTCATAGTAATAATCATCTGTTAAAAACGTCTACCTTTTGTTCGATTCAATTTGAACATTCAATACAAAAAATAAATCAGTCAACTTACGAAAATATAGTCAGTGGGCCATGAATAGCTGTAGCGATTGGTTCATCTGAAGTATTACACTTCAATTTATGTAAATTGTCGAGAATTTCATTTTGTTGAGCTGGATAAAGAATATTCATAACAAATGAGTAGTATGGAATGAAAGGTTTTAGAAAGTAAAGAATCTAAAAGGTCAGTATAGTATAGAACAATCATTACATAGGAAATGGTTGCAATGCCTTAGTTTTCTTGTTCATTTAAACATAAATCCAAAGAAGGCAATGGAAAATATGCCACATAAAATTATTGGACAGTAGTAGAGAAGAAAGAGAAATAAAACAGTTGGGAGATGACAGAAAGAAACTGTCACACGGTCGCTATTGATTACGATTCTGAGCTGTATCTGATATCACCTCGAGTATTTTAACCTAATGGACTCCACCTATGAAGTTGTAATATATCAATATACAGCTAACCCACTCCTGAGCTTTTACCATCTAATCGCACGGCTACCAAACAGTAAATGTTATCGAAGTGGCCAAGTTGATAGTTGTACCACATGTCGAAGCCAATGAGGCCAATATCTCAGGATGACATCATCAACCGAAATAGAGTCTTCATCCTATTTGAACATCGAATGCTAGACTGCAGAGTTATATACACGGTAACTCCACAGTATGCGAAAAACTACAAATTCGAAACTTGAGTTTCGAAGTCGTGTGATTACAATTGATATGATTATGAACAATAAATTTTGTTCGAAATGTCATCCAGTAAATAATACTGTTTCACTGTGTGATACATCTAATACACTAACTAATATGGAACAACTTCTACAAAGCCAACAATAGTCAAGCACGCTGGGCAACTGCCCATCCTGGCTCGGAAAGTCAAGTTTGACAAGCGTAAAGCTAGACTGAACGAAGGCAAACATTGCAAATAGAACGTTTCATGGTCAGACTTATATTATGACGACGCTGGAGGTCAGTGAATCTCTCTCCAGCTTTCGATGTGCGGTTGGAAGTTTTGTGTGTAACCTACGGTATATTTAGAGAGTAACAACAATCCTGTCTAAATCCACTTGCGGTTGTGTGTTTTCGCTACACTTAATGTGTTCTGTATTAGACTTTCTAAGTGTTAGTAAAATTTTACGGTATACCTCACAATCACAGATGATTCCAGGCAGGAATCATTTCCGAATCGTATGCCTTAGTTGTCTACTGGGTAAGGTTAAGGCATTTGAAACGTAGTTCAAGCATCAATAGGGATGCACTTAGATCTAACTGGATGGTCTTTGAATAGAATGAAACGCATGTCCTAAAAGCCACTGTTATTCAGCATAAGAATAACACATTATGGGTTAAATTCAAAAGGCAAGACTGACCCATAGAATAGTCGTCCATCTTTGGAATATTTAGTGCTCTCTGTTTAGTCAATAAGTCTGTCAGAAGTGGAGGGTAAGATACTTTCTGTATTTTCTCCGGTTTTGTGGTTTCGTCACTTGTTACTGTGTCATCACTTTTATTTTGAAGTTTCTGACCATGGGAAATTGTATTGGAACGCGCATCTCGGCATTCAATAGCAGAAACTTCTCCTTCAATTGTGCACTAAATGTAGGATCGGTATAACAAATCATGACTAGTTACAGACAAATTATCGTCAGAAGATCTTTCAAGTACCAAGTTATGAACCATATTTATTAATTGAGGCTTGGTAAATAAGAATTTATAACTGGTTATATACATGAAAATAAAGAGAAGCTATCAATAGCACGAATAATTCCCAGGTTTGCTTAATAACTACTGAGAAGTATAGCAAGTACTTACAGACTGATGATAAACAGTATCGATATACAAAGGGGGATGTAAACTCCATTACTGATGAATAAAATTATCATTCATCATCACTTTGATCATATGTGCAAATGTGGCTAATTAATTTAATCAGATTCAAAACCCACTCTTAGTCAGCTTTAGCCTACACAATGAGGTCGTAGCAGCAATGCACCATGAGGATGAACACAGCAGCCTATAACCACGCAGATAAAACACTGTTTCACGGGCCTAGACAGTATTATTTTATTCATTTTGCCACTTACTAACCATGATTAATGAAATTTATAATTCCCATCATCGCAACAGTTATTATGCATAGTAAAGTAGGTGCCGATATGCCAATTGCACAGGCCGATATTAAATTACCTGGGACCATTATGGGTAGAGAAGCACTGGGAAAGATATGTGGAAACGGAGACCTCTCCGTTGACTTCTGCGACTTCAATGAAATAGTGATTGGTGGCAGCGTATACAAACACAAGGATATCCACAAGGCTACACGAGTGTCACCAGATGGGCGAACCAAAAACCAAATTGACTTTATCTCAATCTCAAGGAAGTGGAGGCGTAGCTTACTGGACAAAAAAGTAAGAAGAGGAGCAGACGTCGGCTCAGACCGCTATCGCGTACAAGGGACAATCCAAATCAAATTAAAAACTTTCAAGGAAACAGGAGCTGCAAATAGACCACAAGCCAAGTTCAATACTCAAAAAATGAAGGACCAGGACACAAAGGACGTCTTCACGACAATCATAAGGAAAAAGGTGGACACAAATCAACACTAGCGAAGAGATCAGAGTTGAAAAGTACTGGGACAACCTGAAAGCGGTGTGGAGTCCAACCTGCACTGGTCCGCGCTCGTGTGTGCTTACGACTGAACGGACGTAGGAAACAGCGAGCGGTAAACCCATCACGTCCCCAGCTCGACCAGGGAACTAAGTCCCTATTTGAGGAAGAACTAGCTAAACACATATCTGAGTTTGACAGCTGCGCTCACCCTGAAGAAGCCTGGAAGAATATTCAGTCAGCCATAGATACAGCTGTAAAAGCTGTGAATAAGGTAATTCCAAAGGTGAGTAAAAACCACTGGATTTCGACTGCCTCATCCGAACTGATAGATGCTAGAAGACTTATTCCGGCGAGCTCCGAATTCAATGAGGAGCGAAAGCTGCACAAGAGGAAACTTACGAAAAGTCTCCGCAAGGACCGTGAACAGTGGTGGTTGACAAAGGCGAAAGAGATGGAAAAAGCATCGGCGATAGGCAACACCAGACAACTATTCAGACTTATCAGGGAAACAGGTGGTAAAAGGCAAATGATAAGCGAAACAATCTCCGAGAAAAATGGCACCATAATTAGCTCCCAGGATAGACGTCTGGAGCGCTGGAAAGAACACTATGAGGAGCAGTTTAATTGGCCCACAGCCACACTTAACCTACCGGACATCCAACACCTCCCTGAATGGGAGATAGACACAGGTCCTCCGTCCTTAACCGAGGTTACTAAAGCTGTCACCAATCTGAAGCTAGGCAAAGCAGCGGGACCTGATTTATTGACTCCAGAGGTATTTAAGTACGGAGGCGACAGTTTACTGTCTGCGTTAACGGAGGTTCTAGGCAGCGTCTGGGAATCAGAGGAAGTCCCATCGGGTTGGTGTAAGTCACTGATCATCCCGATATACAAGAAGGGGGACAAGTCGTCTTGTGATAATCACAGAGGGATTAGCTTGACTAATATAGTATCTAAAATCCTAGGCTCAATAATACTGCGTAGATTAAGCGGTGCTCGGGAGACACAAACACGAGAAAACCAGGCAGGTTTTAGGCCAGGTAGAGGGTGTATTGATCACATCTTCACCCTTCGACAGATTCTAGAACATAGGCATTCCTACCGGCGTCCGACAATCATTATATTTCTTGACCTAAAGGCGGCATTCGATTCTGTCGACCGGGAGGTTCTCTGGCGATGCTTGGCTGTAAAGGGAATGCCAAGAAAATACATTGCACTGATTAAGGCACTCTACTCGTACTCATGCAGCCAGGTGAGGGCTTATGGCGAGTTGTCATCTGAAGTGGTGACGACTAGTGGCGTCCGTCAAGGATGCCCATTATCCCCATTCCTATTCAATTTCATCATAGATGTACTAATGGACTTAACCCTAACTCACTTCAGCGACTCAGGGATTGACTTGCTACCAGGGAATAATCTCGTCGACTTAGAATATGCGGACGATATAGTCCTTCTAGGTGAGGACCCTGACAAAATGCAGAGTCTACTGAACACCCTGAGCAACAATCTCCGCATGTTTGGCATGCGATTCGCCCCTATAAAATGTAAGATGATGCTGCAGGATTGGACTTCATCGACCCCTAGATTAGAAATAGGAAGGGAAGTGGTAGAACACGTTGACCGCTTCAATTACTTGGGAAGTACCATCAGCCCCAACGGGTTGATCTCCGACGAAATTTCAGCACGAATACAGAGGGCTAGGTTCGCATTCGCCAGTTTTCGCCGTCTCTGGCGTAGACACGATATCCGACTATCGACCAAAGGGCGTGTGTACTGCTCAACAGTCCGCTCCGTCCTCCTTTATGGCTGTGAGACCTGGCCATTGAGAGCAGAAGACATGAAAAGATTAGCTGTCTTCGATCATAGGTGTCTGCGTTCTATCTCCCGCGTGAAGTGGTATAACAAGGTGAGCAATATTGAGGTTAGGCGTCGAGTGCTAGGTAAGGCGGGGAAATCAATCGACGAGACTGTGAAATTACTTCGACTGAGATGGTTAGGACATGTGCTACGTATGCCTAGTCATCGCCTTCCTCGACGGGCAATGTTAGCTGATATAGGGTCAGGCTGGAAAAGAGCTAGCGGCGGTCAAACCAAAACATGGCACCAATCAATGAAATCCACAACCGTTAATCTAAGTCACGTAGGAAGATGTAGACTTCCTGGTTGGGGCCCTCGGGATGGTAAAAACCAATGGTTGGAAACAATTGGTGATATGGCTCAAAATCGTTCTCAGTGGCGCAGATGCATCCACTCCTTGTGACTTATGATTTCCAATTAAACTTTTGTTCTCCGTTATTACTATTCCTTTGTCTCACACCCCTGTTTACTGTCTATATTATGCATTTCTTCTACTTTCTTCTCTTGCTTTGCGTGCTACATAGATTGTGGCGACTTGAACTGCCGCACATATGTGCAAAGTTCTATGTCGAAAACAGACAGACAGACAGACAGACAGACAGCATGGAAGCTCTAGGCAGAAAGAAGAGACAGGACAAACAGTGGATCACTACGGACACATAGAGACTAATAGAAAAGAGAACGATTGTGAAACAAAAGATTATCCAGTGCATCGACAAGCAAAAAACACAGGAGTTGAATGCAAGCTACAATACAATGAACAAAAGAGTAAAGAAAAGTGCCAGGGAAGACAAAAGACAATATTATGAAGCTATGGCAAGGGAAGCAGAACAAGCTGCAGGCAAAGGAGGCCTTGCAACACTCTACCAAACAACCAGGTTCCTATCGGGAAAAAGTTCAACACAAATTAAACCAGTGAAGGATGACAATGGAAAGTCAATCTCCAAACAGGTGGAGCAAAAAAAACCCTAACTAATGAACTACAACTTCACATTATTACTATCATCACGCCAAATAATTCTGGACCTAAGTGAGTAACAATAAATTAACAAATAAGAGCTCAGAGATTACATTCAGGTATGAATATGCCAATATTTCAGAAATCAATAGCATAAGAGAATAAGATACACAGTACAATTTCATGTTATTATCACGGGAAAAATAAGATCACTCAGTTATACGCTACCACAGTGTCCAAGTTCTATTTGCATGCTAGAATTATTACCTTGCTAGGTTCGGCTGATACTTTGAATACTTATCCCTATGAAAACACTTTATCCATCTTTATTTTAAGTAACTCTTAGACTTACTAAACTCTAAACAATTTTTGCGACCACAAATAGAAATCCACTCGGGTCTAGACTTTAAATACTAATCCCTACGTAAAGTAAATATTTGAATGAGAAAAATCCTATTTGCGACAATTTCGTTATCCTAAACTGAAGAATTTCTTCTTAGCGTTTGTTCTATTATTGCAGGTTTCTGTTCTGCGGACTGAATGTTGAATCATCCCACTCTATACAACCACAAAGCTATCTGCTAGTTATTCATCCCAATAGTCTCCTAAATCTCTTTAAGTTTAGTCGGCTACCATCACGCAAAAAAACCCTTTTACGTTGTTTTCGCTCTTCCAAACTGGTCACTGTCATATGCACTGAGTTCTTGTACATTGATTCATAAGTTTGAATGGAATCGGCAAAATACACTGGCTTTTATTAGATGTCAAATAGTTTTAGTGGCTTTTTTTCCACAGAAGAATGTAGGTGATTCTAAGCTACCTAGTGTGTTAGCAAGAGTGATTTCAAATAGATGTCCTTATAATATAAATATATATTTCATCATAACGCAACTGAGAAAAAGAGTTGGAATGACCTAAGACGCCCCCCTCCTCCAAGAATGTTTTGACACTTTGTGTGAAAAAAGACACACCCTATACTTAACAACATTTGACTTTACTCTTACCACTAGCAGAGGAGCTCAATAAGTTATTTTCCATAAAACCAACTCTTTTGTCCGATACTGGGACAGTAATATTGATACACAGATCGTTCAGTTTGAAGAAACAAGATACTGGTGTGTAGCCAATAGGGTAACTACCATATCCGATCAACCATTACACTACATCAATATCCCTTGTCATGGATGAAAAATCTTCAACGAATCATTGATCAGTTCACACTGGCTTGACTAAATTAGCAAGGCTCTGAATCTAGTAACTATGATCAGGGTCGAAACATAGCATCTCCAGGGTGTGATGTGCAACTGAATACATCCAGCATATATATATATATATATATATATATATATATATATATATATATATATATATATATATATATAGATCAATAATTAATCAAGTTCTACACAAATATTACGCATATGAAGACATAAAATGTATAAACATTAACTCTTAAGTGTGTTTACATTATAAATTATAACATGAAGTCATTTGATAAAAATTTTTTTTGCTGATAGATTGAAACATCTAAATGTGTATATAAAAATATTTCACCCAGCACTAGTGCTAATCCCTCTCTCTCTCTCTGCCACGCACACACACACACAAACACACAATGTGCTTTTTTAAACTATCAAAACTCAACGAAGTCGATATATCCATAAGCATAAGAATGATATCTACATCAATTCACCTCTTAATTTAATTAAAAAAGAAATTTGGCATTAGTAGTAATAATTCAAAATGACGGTGAATAGAATTTAAGTAGTGTTACATTTTCTAAACCCTGGTGAAGTCCCTAGTCTTACATGGAACAAAACTTTTAAAAGATTAAGGCTCTTTTGATAGCACAAAGAGAGTGCCATTATCATAAGGAAGTCTGTTACAATACCCTCAAATCATAAAACTTTTAACAAGTATTAAAAGAAATGTGAGAGTAATTCGATTCAAATAGACGAACTAAAAGCATATGAATTATAGCTAAGACAAGCAAAATATAGCTTTCTAAACTGATGAGTCATTGCAAACATATCAGGTAATAACAAACCTTGTAGTAGCACTATGAATATGATTTGCTACACCGAGATTACGGGCAAAATCTCGTCCATCACCACTCAAACTTGAAACCACGTTCATAAGAGATGACTGATAACCACCTGTATGAGGTGGAGCAGGAGGTGTCCCAACCAAATTAGGTGTACCGCCCAACGTCATATTTTCTGCTGCCTGGATGTAAATAATGAAAAATCCGTTACAAGATATTATAACTTTACGTTAAGAAATAAGATGGTGAGTAAAATGTACTTATGAATAATAATTACTACAACAGACAGCACAATGACAAACAGAACTTGTTTACATTGTGAAACACCAAACGGAGATTCGCATGTAATGTATGACCAGATGATGATGATACTGTCTAACTGCTTATACACTCTAGTGAGTGGGAAAATTTTTACAAATGAGGCTACCACTAGGCTGTATGTTTTATTTCATCATTGACACAGTGTAATTACATTCCTACATGGTAAGTATTTACGAACCTCATATCTATACAAAACTATACGGTTTTCTCAGAATAAACTCAATGGAAAGTATTTTCTTAGATGAATTCGTCTTCTTAAAGTCACTGTGTATTATTATGATCATACGACCAAACCTAATATTACCAATCGTTTGGCTTCATCAAACATGACTATAAGTTCACTTAGTAAAACCAAGTATGTAAATCCAGTCCTCAATGTTCATAAGTCATTACTGTTTATTCTCTAACAAACGAACAAAGATAATCAACATAGAATTTACAGTGTAATAAAAGGGAAGAGACGCAAAAATTATCAATACGTATATTTACCTCTCGTAGGCTAACACATGGTGGGTGTGTTCCACCGATAACACCAGCATTCTCTAGACCAACCATTGCTCTAGTAGCCGCAGAGTATGCATCGAGTGCATCACCTCTGGCTAGAGCAGCAGCTGTAACAGCATCTGTAGCAAGATGTTGTCTTGGTTGTTTAGACGGAGGTGCTAATAGGGCAGCTAAACTGTTCGGTTCAGAACCACAGTCGTCTCCTAACATCATAGGATCATTCAATCCGGTTGTGGACGCATGATGAGCCTGTAAAGCGTTTAAATGATGTTGTTGTAACTGTTGTTGCTGCTGGTGTTGCTGAAGTCCTTGTTGATACTGATTATGCATAGAATATCGAGAGTGATGAGAACTGAAACAAGACCCTCGACCATAACGTTCACCAGTGTCTGTCATACCACGATGTAAATTATCATTATTATTTCCAGAGGTACCATTATTGACTGTACGTGGGACCATTATTGGTGGAAGAACTGTACAGGGAAGAGTAAAATAACAATAAAAGGTGACACAAGTGATAAGAAAATTTCACATGTCTATATATATATATATATATATATATATATATATATATATATATATATACGTATTTAATACATGAAATACATCTGTGAATGACTGCACTATTTCAGGAACGTTACATATAAGTTAGAGAACCATTGAAAACCAGGGAGTACTGGACAGCTGCTGTTTCATCCTAGTTTGGGAATCATCGACAGTACGCACCTACTGGGATTCGAACCCAGGACCTTCCGGTTACAAGGCAAGCTCGCATACCATTCAGCCAAATACATCATTAGTATCAATTATTATCCGCCCTAAATCTTAAATCCCTTACTATTTTGCTTATTTTATTTGACATCAATAGTAACCAATAACTAATCTCGACATTTAATTCTAGGAAGTTAATCAGTTAACTGCGTTATAAGGTTGATTAAACTCTTCTACCTATGCTGTACAATTTGCATACTAACATTAATTTATCGAATTTCATAGGATGACAAAGCTCAAAAAACAATGAAACTAAAATGAAGATTTGTTAGTCTCTCCTGGTAAACATCTTCGGGATAGCTGGTTAACTCCTGAAGTCTGTGTAGTAAAAGTAATCGAAAATCAAATATATTTAATGATGAAAGGGTTTATAAGACTGGTTACTGTTAAATAGATAGTATCTGGTTTATATCTCCGCTTAATGCAGGTCGTACTATATGATGACAGACTTCTGAGCTTAGTTAACCGCATTTCTTGCTTGCTTGCTTATACAACAATAGAATGTATCTACAACAACGATGAAACTCATATCAACGAAAATAGTGTTATGAAGTATAAGAATTTCAGAAGTCAACGATTAGGATACAGAATTCGACTAAGAATTCAGAAGTAAATTATTTTAAAGTTGATAAATAGATGAATATCAGCTTTATCAATAAAGTTAAAGACTGACTGACTGACTGAATTCAACATAGAACTTGGCACCGAAGTGCAGCAGTTCGAGTTGCCACGTTCCAAATAGCACACAAAGGTAGGCAGGAAAAGGAGAGAAGAGAATAAAGTTAAAGCACAAAAATAATAATGATAACGATGACGGTCAAAGTATACAAACAGTTAACACAAACTTAATTAAAGTTTGAGGAATGGAATTTCAGATTCAATAACAAACAAACAATTAAGCTTAGAACAACGAATTAGTACCAAAAAAAAGTAAATGAAACATTGTAGAATACCACAAACGAAAAAATCAACGCAAAACACAACAGCAAAATAAACTTAAACCTACTAGCACTATGATATTCTGTACACAAAATGCTTTTGTAACAATCCACAGAAATTACTATGATGTGTAGATTTTTTTAGTTAGCAACAGCATAGTAAGAATTTGTCAAATAAGTCTCATAAACCATATTACAATTTGAAAGTGTACGTAAAAATAATAATAAAAATAATCAAAAAGGTCACCAACAAACATCAGATATCACTTTGTGCAAAAAAGAATCTATTAAACAGAATACACCTGCAGGCGGTAAACAACAAGGAAGATGAAATTAAGCATCGTTTCATTTGTCGAATAAGTAATTGGCAGAGAGAAACACATGGTTTCGAACCCTGGCGGTGGTTGCATACTCCAGAAGAGTCCCAAACTAGGACGAAACGAATGTCAAGTACTCCCAGGTTTTCCAATGTTTCTCAAACTGACGTCAGCTCATGACAAAATCCTCTAACCAGTAAGAACACATATACCCATGCAGACATAGACAATAGTGTCGTCTTAAGCTGTTACAATATTTGAAACAAAACACTTATGTTATCTGTTTTACAACAAATAACTCTCCAAGATTCATATTATAAACATAGCACAAAAAGTTGGTCAAACAGTGAGATTTTATTGCTCAAATATACATTGTATTGGATGTGTATAGTTGATGTAGGCATTAGCATACATGATTTCATATAGAAAACAGAATAATATCATTAGAAGTTTTTGGTTTTATGTTTCAAGCACCATCAGATGATGCAATATCAAATATCACAATTGGATGTCAACAAAGCAGGTCATTAGTCGAGTAAATTAATAAGGCGTATAGTTCTTAGAAGACTGATGATAAATACAACAATACCACTGCATTTAATACCTGTCTCAAATAAGCGTTTTCATAACATACAAAACTCAAATTATTTTGAGTCCACACAAATAAATTATTCCTCAACTCTTTAAATGAATAGTGTACAAGATTATCACCAAGGATTCAATAGGCAAGCGTACTTTTCAAACTACTAACCGGTAGTGATGATATTGCTCTGACAAGTTGCTGAATAATCTTGAATATAGGGCACCCTATACACATACACTTGTATATTCCTTCCATATTACCTCTTAGATGTGAAGAAACTTAAAATATATTCCTTTTGAATTACAGGTAATTGAAAAACCTGTTATCCTAACTAATTTTCTCTCTCTTCCATTTTGTGCTATTTGAACTGGTGCATTTATGTGTGAAGAGAATATGCTATACTGTAATAATCAATGGTGTATATAGAAATTTTAAAAAATTACGTGTACGAACCTGGATTTTCGATTCTTCTATAGTGGTAAGGGTTAATGCAAACCTCATCACGTTTGGACTGGAAGGAATATTCACAAGTAGCAATAGGGCGCAATTCATGTTGAGTATGCAGATCTGGCCATCGCCAGAGTTGACAGTAAAAAACGTGTGGTAGCCCTTTTTTCTGAGCAACCTAATAATATAAAATCAAGGTATGAGAACAGAGTAAAAAATATAAAAATACGTAGTAAGAAACACTAGAATGACCCGAGAGTTAAAAAATTTAAAACCACACATAAATAAAAGAAATAATAAAGCACATGATGTAAATTTAGAAGAAAAAGTTATTTTACTTCATCCTAACAGACCAGTATGGAATTCTTGGTCTCATACAGTTAACATCAAATAAAAAAAAATTTAGAAACTATGACTTAAATAGTGTAATCATACTCAGAAAGGAATGCAAGGATCGGTACAGAAAAAAAACAGCATATTATTACTCAACACGAAAAACAACCATTTCTTTCATGGTTCGTGGCCGTTATCTGCACTGCTATGTGTAGCGGTCATTAACAGCAGTTCAGTCAACTGATTTTTTACTCCAATAAGTATTTATATGACCAAGTCCACTCCATATTTTTTTACATACCACATTTCCAGACAATGAGATCACTGAGACATTAGACATCAATTCTTGGAGAGCCACAACCTAGCGAAGCATGAATGAGACGTGAATATCGGTTCTACAACGTTGATCAAAGATGCGAAAGGTGCCCCAAATGTAAAGGGGAGCAAAGCATATGTAACGGATTCGAGAATTACTTAAGGATGACGATCACTATTTATTCACTGGATTGATTCAGATTATTAGGCAGTCTTAAACAATACGAATCAGATTAACTAGACTGACACTGATTGTTATCCCCAACATCTTACTGTTACAGCCACGGAGGTATCAACTCGACTTATGAAGAGTACAAGACCTCGGTATCGATGGAGCACAGAGAAACTAAGCAGAGAGAATTAAACAGTTCTTTGGACGAACTTGAACTGACTATATTCCCAGTCTTTGGCAAATCCTAGAATAAAATTAACTGTTGGTGTCCAAGACATGCATTGCTTCTCGATCTGAAAGCTGATTCCGACTTTGTCTACCAACATATGTTGAAGTGATATCTGGTAGTGAAGGCTAGAAAAGTATGTTGTGCTTACTAAGGCACTCATGTTGCCCTGTAAAATTTTACAGAAGTAACCAAAACCATTGTTTTAGGTGTACTGATAGGGTTATATTTGTTAGAATTCGACTGATTTTTGGCATCAAGAAGACATACAATACAGTGGAGACTGGTAAAATTCAATCCAAAAAAAATCGTGTACAAACATTTGAGAGTTTAGCATACATTCGTTTCTTTGCGAAAATAAGATAATGCAGAAAGACTGGCACGGATCAAGAGCTTCAGTAAGTAACTATCAGCTAGTTAGTCTCAGTGACTGAATTGTGTCATCAGCCCACACTAGGTGTGACTTCACATGGTATACGAAAAATGTCTCAGCTAACTGAGTTCTTACCATCAGAAGTGGTGTGTATAAACTCTAAGTATCATCAACACACCTCTCTCGTGATTGACTAGAAAACCAACATAGACCCTTGCACAGAAATGAAGTCAACGCATGTTGAAGCAGAAACAGTGGAATAATAAAGTATATTTAAAGTATGCCACTCGACGAAAACCTGAAAGGACAAATTATCATATCACACATCGCAAAAGTGCAACTTTAAAACACTCGCTTAAGCATTTCAGTAAGACACTGTAAAACTACTGGTAAGCACACGTAATTTAAGTTGAACTAGCTGCTGTACTAGGCACTATATTAATGTCCCAACTTGTGCATATATTCACATAACACCCATTGGCTTAGCGATCTACGATTTCGTACACCGTTTTTATCAAGTTTGCTCCCCTGTAGCCACTAGGATAAAATTTCTGTTTCTGTGTTTTCCAGATCACATAGGAAAATACGACTGTAATCAAACTACGTTGAATTTATAAATACAAACGGTAAGGAGTTTTCACACTAAAACTAAGATGACGGTAACTTTTAAAAACTAAAAACACATTACAAAATTACAAACACATAATAGTGCAGTAAATGTGAAGTTGAAGAAAGTGACAGCCAGTGGTTTAACCATGCAGAAAGCAATTGAAATATACCCACAAACTGCTGATACTCAATTGATCAATTTCTTCCATAATGATCATAAAGTCACGCACTTGAACTCCAGTCAACACAGTGCAATTTCTATCAGTTCTATCTGTAATCATGTAGAGTTGAGTAATAAATTTAGATATTTGAATATTACATCTACCTAAGTCTGTATCCTTGGTTGATGCATTCAGCTCTCATAAAAAGTGAGGCTTATTTCCTAGTGCACAAACTCACAAATGGTTATGAATTTCACTTCACTCCTTTCACCTTCCATGAACATGTAAACAACTCACAAACTATTACAACCTAGATCGAATCAATCATGGGACACGGACAGCTGTAAATAAAGATAAAATGCAAAGGTAGATAGTCATTAAAACATACACGGTAATCGATGCTGAAATATGGTGATAAGTGTTTGACATAGTACTGAAAATACGCTTCAGATACAATGCAATAGCGAATTGGCTTCTCAAATAACAAATCCACTTTGCACTAGCGTTAATCGCTACAGATAGATAGACTATATGATAGACAGTTAATCAATATGATGTGACCTTCTTGTCGCGATTATTGGTCAATTTATTGTAACTCTCACCACGTGATGTGACCTAGAATGTTCTTTGTTGCCTGTCACTCTATTTGTGTATACATGTAATTTTGATAGCATTATTAGAAGACGGAGATTATCTGAAAAATGTGATGTATTAGCGCTATACATTTCGAACAATCTGATCACACATTTACTTGTCAAGTCAATATATATGGAAAAGTTAAATTAAACAAGGCGACAAAAAGAAGAATTAAGAATAATTAACACAAACGTTTGGTAATCCAATCAAATAAGGATTACCAAGGTAGGTTAAGAGTAATAACAAACTGTTTTTGAATACACAAGGGGGGCTTAAGTTTATGAATGGCTATAGCCTCAGCGTATTTCAGTAAACGTCCTTGACCGTTTTTATAGATGACCTTAAAGGCTGAGTTAACATCAACCTTATGGTTCATCTCGATTAAATGTTTAGCTATAGACGAAGTTGGTAGTCTGTCACCTGCATCTATGGGCTTGTCACAATTCATCTGTTTTCCTAACCACTTTGGGATATGCTCTCCCACCCTCACGTGCAACGCGCGATTGCTCCTCCCTATGTATGTATGTCCACACACACACACACACACACGAAAATTGGTAAATTGTATGGGACGTGATATAATCACTTGTGCACTTTTGAGGTTTCCAGTGAAGCATATTTTTTAGCCTTTTCGACAATTACAAGCTGGGCTGCATAGTAGGTTCTACGGATGATGGAATTCAACCTTTGTCTCAAAATCCTACTATTTATTTCCCCATTATATGGTAATTTGATGAAAACTTTTTTCTTAGGGACGGTATGGATTGTAGGTTTAGAGGCTAGTTGACTTCTACACCTGTTTAAAAACTTCAAAGGATATCCGTTTTCAACAAGAGTATCCATCAATATTTCGTTTTCCTTGTCTATAACATCAGCCGTGCAAATACGCTGAATCCTCTTAAATAGACACTTCACCAAGCCTCTCTTATATTGTAATGGACAGAAGCTGTGAAAATTAAGATATTGCCCTGTCCAAGTGGGCTTTCTGTAGATAGACCGTCTTATTGAGCCATCGTCTCTTCGACTCAGAAGTATGTCTAAAAATGAGAGCTGGTTGCGACTTTCTTCCTCGCATGTAAGACTAATATGATTCTGTACAGAGTTAAGTCTGTCCAATAGACAACTCGCATCTTCATGATCATCGCATATCAAAATGATATCGTCTACATATCTCTTATAGAAAGGCAATTTAGAAATTAAACCAGAAGATAAGTTTTCAACATAAGACATGAAAACATCCGCTAATAAAGGTCCTAATGGACTCCCCATAGCAGGGCAATATCTTAATTTTCACAGCTTCTGTCCATTACAGTATAAGAGAGGCTTGGTGAAGTGTCTATTTAAGAGGATTCAGCGTATTTGCACGGCTGATGTTATAGACAAGGAAAACGAAATATTGGTGGATACTCTTGTTGAAAACGGATATCCTTTGAAGTTTTTAAACAGGTGTAGAAGTCAACTAGCCTCTAAACCTACAATCCATACCGTCCCTAAGAAAAAAGTTTTCATCAAATTACCATATAATGGGGAAATAAATAGTAGGATTTTGAGACAAAGGTTGAATTCCATCATCCGTAGAACCTACTATGCAGCCCAGCTTGTAATTGTCGAAAAGGCTAAAAATATGCTTCACTGGAAACCTCAAAAGTGCACAAGTGATTATATCACATCCCATACAATTTACAATTACAATATTCTTTTCGATAAATTCCTCTTCCAGGCTCTACAATTATATATATGTTTTTATACACAGAATATTTTAAAATAGTAGTCAATAACAATATTAGCGTTTTTTTAAATAATATCGATTTGTAAAGTATGATCAATGCTATTGCAGTTCATTAAAGATGCTTAAATTATAATAATAATAAAGATATAACAGCGAATAGAATATCAACTAAAATTAGGGAAATTTCACAAAATTTCTGGATTATTCAAACCTGGATGGCCAAGATAATGACTGGACTAACTTCTTTTGAGTGCATAAATTAGGCTTATTAATATGGATCCCCACAGCCTCCGCAATATTTAGAAGTCGAACTCTTAAAGCGAAATTGAGATTCATAGGTATGCGGTAAATGACCCTGAAAGCATGATTAACGTCAATCTTGTGTTCTGTCTCCACAAGATGCGCCAGAATAGCACTGCGAATAGATTTTGTTTGACCTTTGCTAAACAATATGTTAAGATGGATGCCGATGAACTTGAGTGTTGGATCAATAAAAAACTGCAAACATATGCAAATGAGGATTTTAAAGAACGCAGTAATCTTCAGCTGAGAAAACATAAACATCAAGAGTTTGAGTTCGAAGTAACAGTTCATGCTGAAACACTGTCAGCTCTGGATTGTGCG